TCCCTGCCCATGGCAGAGGGGACTGGGACTAGATGATCTGTAAGGTCCATTCCAACCCCTAAAATTCTATCATTCTATGAAAATAAAATCTCATTGCCACATACTACAGTACAGAAGAATGTCAGGAAGTCTGGTCTGGCTGGGGAAAATGCTAACAAATTCAGTTTCAGCCAGGCAGCACTATGGGGAGAGGGGACAGGTGCCTGTGGGAGCTTCAAAGGAAAGGTTATATCTGTAAAGAAGACAAAAGGATAGCTTCTGATCTCTGCTAGGAGAAAAGAGGATCCACCCCCTTCCCTCCCACCATTTGGAGATGCCCTGTGTAACGTTAGGTGCAGCAGCTGCTCTGTCGCGTTGATGAATCCTTTCAATCTGCTTGTGGGACTTGCCTTTTGTCAACTAAGTAACTGCTCTCCCCACCCAATTTTCTACCTGTTTTCCATGTCAGCAACAAATGCACCTCACACTGTGCACAATGAGAGCATACAACAAAGACAAGATCTCAGATTTCACAAGGTATTCTGAAGGGCACATCTGGATTACCATGAGTGTAGTTTCCCTTTTTTCCCCTTTACTAGTACCATGGAGATTCAAATGAGCAGTATTTAAATGGCTGCAGAACAAGCACTACACTGCCACACAACTCAAAGGTGTTTGAGGAGGGGGTTAATCAGAAACCCTGTTTTTCACAGAGAATGGGGGTTAAGCATCTGGAAATATGTGGATGGCTTGTTATGCTGCAGCATCTGGCATGGGTTGGACGAAAACCTGGTGTGTGAGGACCACAAGCTGCCACAGTACAGGCCTGACCACCTGGAAAGGAGTTGATGGATGGAAAATGGAAGAACCATGCTGGACTATTCACATATAATGTATTTTCCTTTGTCACATAAGGCTTCCTACAGGAATGTGAATATAAAAAAGATTCAGTGTAGTTCTGCCTGCAACAATCCGAGACATTTTGCACATATAACATCTAGTCAGCACAATGGAAAAGCATGAAGAAGAGACTTCGAGCCGCTCGTTTTCAGAAATCATTCCACATGGCAGCAATCTCCGGTAAAACAGCCTCACAGCTGCTCTAAAGAATTCCAGCTGGTAACACATCCGCATGAGGAGCCATCTGCTAGCAAGGATGCATCAATATCGCACTGATATGCCTACAGACTCCACCTCACAGGCTATAGCTGCAAACAGCACAGCAGGCTTTTGCCATCCAAAAAACTTCTGCAGTCCCTGGCTTGAAAGATCTGTCTTCCCTGCAAGCTCATAAGGGCTGGGAGAATCAGTATTCTGAAAGAATGCCTTCCTGGGTACATTTGTTGACAGTGAATCAGTTTTGTGCACCCTTTGCATCCCACTTACAGTCTTGGATGGGCTATGAGTGAGATATGTGTGAAGAGCTACCCTGGACTAAATGATGCTCCTCACTGCCCATCTCTAGGCAACAAACCACAAAGAGATGAAAGAGCAATGACCACAATGAACCTCAAGCACCCAGAAACAGCCATTGTAAAAGGCTAGGAAGGAAAATCCCTTCCCACCCTGCATTTGGGGAGGCATGGGCAGATGCTGCACATACCACCCATGAGGCAGCTGTTTTGGCATCCTTGTCTGTGTTACTTCATACTACACAGATCTTGAAAAGGCAGAAGAGATCCCCACCCTAGATGAAAACTTATAAATTTATGGGTAAATATGTTGAAGGAAGACATCAAACTGACCTTTTTCAAAACAGCCTAGGTAAAGCATGCTACTCTTGGTGATGGTATCTCCAGTGAAACGGGAGATAGCCTGTCCTCCTGGTATCAGTGTCAGGCATAGAAACTTACAGCTCTGAACAACATATCCCATGTACACATCTCCTCCTGGCTACATGCCTCAAAAGCAGGACTAGAGCACGAATCTTGCTGTCTCAGTGGGCACAACCCACTCAAATGGCTCAGTACCAACCTGACATATAGGGATGATGCTATCGTCACAGCGGCAAGAGCCCACATATGTGGTTACCCTACTTGCCTCTTGCAAGTGCTGGGCTAAGCCAGAAAAGTTACCGGGGTGAAAAATAAACCATCTCTGTACTCATCAAACCCCTGTGTAACCAGTGCCCTGTGCAGGAATGTCAGAATCACCCATGCTGGCACAATAAACCAGCGACTGTTCCTGAAGGTTAGGGAAATTTATTTTTACAGCCTTGCACAGTGCCCACAAATCTATCAGCGACACAGCATCTGGTTCAATCACTGCCCTTTGAATGGCTTTTCTGTTGGTGCAGTAATTAAAGGTATCCCAGGTGACACCTGATCCCTTATCAAGTTCATGAATTTACGTGGCGTTATTTGGCTATTTTCTATACATCATAATGTATTTCTAACCTTTTAAGTGACATACGCAAGAACCAGATTGCAGTGGCCCTTATTAACAGCCTATTAAAATATTTTATGGCCTTTATTTTAACATTGCCATAGGGAATCAAGTATTTTGCTGTTGTTAAAACAGGCTCAGGATTTATGTTGCGAGAGTTTCACTACAGCCTAGCACAGAGTACTGCTAGGAAATGAACTGGGAGAACAAACTCTCATTCAGCTCCCCATGTGTTTTAAAGCTGTCACACGCAGATGGCAGCAAGAGGCCCTCCAGTGCAGGCCCTTGGTTTGGTTTGTTTTTCTAAATATAAACCAATACAACAAGATGCAAGGCTCTGGGACCTGTGTGTCTTTTTTACCAACCCTATAGACCCACAGGGGGAAGCTCAGAAGGGATCTTTGTGGTCCCCTGTGAAATAATGTGATCTGTGGCTTTTTATCCCAGAGCTGCTGTAACACATTCACATTTTGCAACTGAGTTAGAGCCAATAACATTGGAGGATGACCATGATCCTACCTACAAGACTAGGATTTTATGTAGAAGACAACTATGATCTTACCATAAAGTTTTCCAGATATTGTAAGACACTCCCCTACGAAACCTCCTTCAAAGGTGAATCCCCTTCTCCACTAGAAATCTGCACCTCCTCCTAACTCAAGCATATCCAACATTGAGACCACGCGTCTTGAATTTAGAGACTTAACTTTGTCCTGCTTAGGTATTCAGAAATGACAATCAAGTCCCTTCTGAAATTCTTGGTTTGAAAAACTTCCTAGGGTGAGTTTGAGGTCTTCCTGAGTTTATATTATGCTTCTCTCATATTCTCAAGCATAAAAAGTAATTTATAATGAAGCAACACATTTGGAATGGTATCAGCAACATACTTAAAAGTATTTTAATTGCTTGTGTTTTCAAAACATTTTAATGAAGTCAAATCAGGAATAGACACTCATCTGCCAAAGAACTGATAAAGTATTTTACAATGACATTATAATTGATGCAATTGGTTGTATAGATTCCTGGCATTTGAAACAAAGATACTAGAGATTAGTACAAGAAGATTATTCTGTAGGCAGTTATTATTTCTGCTTGAATTCTAAGGACTTTGTTGGGGTTTTTTCCCCCAGTTTTTAATTTCAATGTCATACTGCAAGGCAGATTTTGTGTGGGTAACCTTAGAGATACTGTTCTCAGCAAGCAATCCCATAGCACTAATGCGTAACAAGTAGTCATATTAATAAATGTTATTAAATGCACCATTCCTTTTATGTCTCATCCAAGACCAAATGAAAGGCTAGCTTGCTGGGATCAGTCCTGGACATCCAGGAGGGACTGCTCCTCCAATTTCATTTTACAGATGAGTGATGGCAGGAGAAACAGAGGAGCACCACAGAGCAGCCTGCCCCACAACCTGGGTCAGTGAGTGCCTGGGGGTTTCTGAGCTCACTGTGGTCTCCTGCATTTGTACAGGCTCCAGTCACCTTTTCTCCCAACTCTTGAGGAAGAAGCTGTGCCTAAGAAACTAAAACTTCACCCAAAGAACCATGCCAGGTTGTGGCATGCTGGTGGCATTACAAGCCTTGCCTGCTGAGGAAACTTTTAGGGGAGAGACTGACCTGGTTTAAATTAAAGCTGCATCTGCAAGAGCAGCTCAGCAGTAAAACAATAACCTTGCTGAGAACTCCCTTGCAACTGTGCAATTCAGTCATCTTCTAATGAGCACCCCTCACTCCTCTTCTCCCGCTCCTACCATGAAAATGAGAGGAGAATCAACTTCCAGCTGTGTAGCACAACACTCTCCATTCCTGGGTGAGCAGTAAAGCACTGACTCCCAATAATTTCCTCCTCCTGAAGCTCATTAGATGGTTTTATTAATTAGCATGCTCCCCATCTTATCATGCACTACACCTGAAATCCTGCTTGCATTTTTGAAGAAAGTCATGAAAACTAGAGGTACTTGAATAAATGGGCACTGACAAAGCCTAATATTCTACCAATATAATGAAGCAGCTTGATAGACAGTAAGACGCCTAGGCTCAGATCTTAACCCAGTCCAAGGGCAAAACATGCCTTGGCTGGCAAGCACATCTGCTGATGTGGGCACCCCCAGGTAAATCCTCAATAATTTTGCTGAAAGTAATCAGATTCTGGGGAGAATTTGGGTCATGAAATCTGTCAGGGGCCAAAACAAACAAAAAAGAAGCAACGCTGTTGCCCCCAAGCACAAAGAAATAGTAACAATCAACAGCTTCAACGCCTTCCCTGTAGAGACTGCAAGAATTAGTTGGTAATTATTAGGCACAATTTCCTTTACATAGAGCAACTAGGAGGTTACCTGCTTCAAGGACAGAAAATATAGCTTTGCCACCTTCATGCACAATTGAATGGAAAATGCCACCACTGTTAGCCGAATCCCAATAAGGATAATGCTTCATCATCAGCCACTTGCTGGTACTTATTAGAAACCACTCTGCAGTGCCATAACCCAACATATTGTCTCAGGTTATCACTGCTGCTGGCAGAGCTGGTTCCCCTGTTACGCTCCTCAGAGTGGAACAGAGGAATAAACAGAGGAATAAACAGAGGAAAAGACAGAAACAGGCAGAGAGAAAGAAAAAATCCCAACCACTTACTTGATATTGTCAAGACATCCAGATTCGGGTTTCAGTATGGCAGTATGATGAAACATTTTATAGAGAGCAATCCCAAGGAAGATGACGTTAAGCTGCAATGTGGGGGGGGAGGAAAAAAGATCCCAGTTATGTGACACAGCACAACATCACAGGCTTCTCTGTAACAGAGGGGTTACTGTAGGAAATTAGCTCTCACTACAGTTTTATAGCAACTGACTCACAGAACATTTCCAAGCATTTTAATAAGGTGAGCTGGACCAAAGGCTGCAGGATTGGTGATGCCATAGCTGTACCAAAGTCATGGCACCGAATATGTTACTGATATGAGGGTGATTCTAACCTCAACTGCAGTGCTTCAAACTGCATTATGGACAATCAAAAATATTTGCTGTAATGGCTCTTCTGTGTCTAAGAGGTGTACAGCCATGAAAAGTCACTCCAAGCACCTTGCTTAGTCAGCCCCATTGTAATGAAGCATAAAAACATTTTTTTCAATGAATACATCTTTTAAGCATGGTGTAATGGGGTAGATGGGCAGGGAAACCACAACTACTGAAGATGCTTAGCACAATGCGAAGCTGAAAAACAAAACCAAAATAGTTTGATTTGTCTGTAAAAGATGTGCCTAAAAGATCAATGCCTCAGCGTTAAGAAGGCTGCCAATTCCTGGAAGGGAGTTTCCCCAAAAGCCCAGTCCAGAGTTTGAGACACAATCAAAAAGGGAAGGTACCTTTTTAAGAATGGATAGCTTAAGGGGAAAAAAGCCCAAACAGTTGTAGTTGGTGGCACAGCCCCCTTCCTGATTTGGAAGGCTGCTGTAAAGGCCCCTAATTGCAGGAGAAGCAGAAAAAACAGAGACAATGTCTGCATTGAAGTGAGAGCACCTGGTTTTCTGTGCTAGCCAAACTGTAGTCTAGTCAAAACAAAGGATGGTTTATTTAAGCCATATTGTAGCAATTAAAGTATAAGAAAACTCCAGCTGTCTCTAAAGTTGGGTTCTCTACCTTGTTGCTGTGCTAGCTGATAAGCTGGCAATGTGCTAAACATGAAGTCACACGAGCTTCAACTTCTGCTGGGAAGAAAAAGACCCTCATCAAACTTCTTTTTCAGTTTGGACTTTATTTCATTCCCCCATCCCAGATTTCCCTTTTTTTTTTGCAATATCAATGCAAAGCTCCACTCTGAAATTCAAACAGGGTGCGAGCCATGAGTGGCATCAAAATTGAGTTTGACGCTTCTAAATGTCCAAGGATAGAAATCAACTCTGCAAGTGCCTACTCCAAAGCTCCCCAGCCCATTTTGATCAAGTATTTCACAAAGCCAAGAGCCTCTCATAATGAGGGTCTAATTGCTTGTGCCAGGCAGGGTCAAAGAAGAACATGCCTTTCTCGAATTAATCTGTGTAAATTAAAGATAAAGAGTTAAGGGACAGCAAAAGTTTTATTTCTTGAACTGAAAGATGGAGTAGTTAATTAGGAGTTCTTACCATAATTATCAAGGTCGCTGGTCCTATAAAGCTCCAAATGAAGTAGGTGTCAAGTCGGAGCCAACATCTGTAATGAAACACAGGGGAAAGCAGGCATTCAAGGACTGCACCCAGGACATACATCAAGAGTGAGCGAGTGACAGAGAAGAATGTGAGCTGCAAAACACGCCGGTGGGAGACAGGAAATATTACATTGCTTGTTCATTTAAATGCTGAATTATGTGCCCGATTTCTGACAGTGCTATTGATGGAGTAAGATAATTACCTCTAGAGGAAGCAGGGAGAAAATGGCACATGGCCTAGTTGCTAAGACTTTCGGTATCTGTTGGAAAAAAATCCCTAAACAGTAGGGTTTTTTTAAGGAAGGGGTCTGATCAGCATCCATAGAGCTTCTGCTTTTTGCTCCTCTTTTCTCTCCAGCTCTGATAGAGACAGCAAGCTGTCTGTCAGTTGTCAAGTGAGATGACATTTTTCTAGCAAGCAAATTGGAGCAAATTTGGTGCAAATAGGAATATCATTTGGATAACAGAAGGCTGAGGTTTAATTAGGTTCAGCAACTTCCCGCTTAAAATGTTTGATTTCCCTGAGCCGCTGGAGTGTTTTGTTTCCACTAATGTTTCCAGGATTGCATATGGTCTGGCTATCGCAAGATTCATGGCCTAAAACTAAATTATTAATCTCTTAATTTCAAACGCATTTAATACTCCCCACATTTTTTAAGGCCCCTGGGAAATTACACTTCCATTCCTAGTTCATTCCAGGTGACAGGAAGATAAAATGGAAGTGAGTGGTTACAAGACAGACGAATGTAAATTCCAAGAAAGTTTCACATGATGTTTAAAATAATAATATCTTGTCGTGTTTGCAATGCTGCAAATCACAGCTCCGTTTATACACAAAGGACTTATACTAAACATCTGATGGAATTTCATAATTAGGCAAGTGACAGGAACTGCATATATGAATTTATCATGGTGGAAATGAGAGCAATTCTCACAAATGACAGCTCTAGTGTATGCACTTAGTGTTTTTTCCTTCCAATGGACTTTGCAACAGGCAGAAAGGTCTGTGTCAGCAGCCCCACAGGAGATGATCAGCAGGAGATGGCTGCCCAGAGAATAAAACATCCCCTGAACCTCTGTGACTGGGAGAAGCCAAGATATGAATAAATTCAAAAATGCAGGAAAAGCTTCTCACTTCCCTCCCTGCCCATATAGCTTTCAGGACTCGTCAGAGTTGAAGATATACATATAGTCATGCCACTATTTGTCACAAATTAAAATATTGCCACTTCTGTGGCTGTCATTCCTGAACTGCCTCTGCAGCTGTTCGTCGACAATCTTCATGTGATAGCATCAAAATCGTAATGCAAGAGGCAAACGGAGGCTATCAGAGCAATTGCAGGGAAATCTTGTTTCCTCTGTGGCTGCTGAAGTTCAAGGTGATTCAGATGCAGCTGGTAATGGAATAACATGAGTGACTTGAAACTACTTGAGTCTGATTCCCTATAGGAAAGGGTTTATGTGATCATGACATCTGTGTATCACCCATAATAACACATGAAATGTCACCCTATTGCAACTAGATTTGACAAATGTCTGCATAGGAGCAGCTCACATATCAAGGGTATTTCAGGCTTTATACCTATCCCACCTCCCTTAAAAAAAAGTATAACTAGTGCTTATATCTCAACTGCCATATATAAAACAGGGAATATGCAGCTCTGCCACTTTTTTTTCTCCTGATAGAGAGTGCTGGTGTGTGGGAGAGGACTCAGAGGGCTGTGGTGCTTTGGGCTTTTTTAAAAATGAAAATATTTTGAACATTTTTTTGCCAGTTTAACATTCAAAACAACCCCCAGCCCCTGCTGCACAGAAATTGGGAACACAGTGTATTTTAGTTGCCATTAACCTGGTTTTCTTTCAGCATAAAAGAAAGCTCAGGGAAGAGGCAACACATAAGCCCTCTCTTTACTTCTTAAAGCACGGTGGCCCTGCCTATGGCCACATCTGGTGCAGCTGATTTTGAATGCAAATAGATTGGGATACTGGGAAAATAAGTGAAAGATGAAACACCAAATGAGCAACAAGCTGTTGCTGAGCGAAGAAGAGCAAAGCAACTGGTTCCTTTTCCAGGCATTCAAATGGATGGAATTTTCTACCCTGCTCCCTTAAAGAATCTGCCTCTTCAGTTGTGGAAAATAATTGAGTGACAAGAGACAGATGCTGTGAATGGGAAACAGCAGAGGAGCCAGATCCTGCCCTCAGGATAAGTGAAGGCCAGGCATGAAGCTGAAGGAGCTCCTTCCAATGAGAGGTGGATTCACCTAAACCGGAGTACAGTTTGTGAAAAACAGAGAAAGCTTTTTTCCCCACCTCTCTGCATGCTTCAATGAATGCAATGTCATTTTCTGTTTGTCTGAATAGAAAAATCACCTTCCTATGAATTATATGATACTCGGTCTTGGGTGACTAAACAGAAAGCTGCAGGACTAATTTGCAGAGGGACTTACAAAACCTGGGGGTTTTGGTGGTCATCAGGAAGAGATGCAGCTTTGAACCACATTTTAAGTCATACCTCATTAAAAATGCAAATTAAGACCAAAACATCAAAACACAGGCATCCCACCAATTGCGTTGAGAGCAGTAAATTGCTAATCAGACAAGTACCACACTGAGCTTTTCTCCTTTAAAAGACAAAAACCCACACACATAAGGAGCTGCATAAATGAGCTCCTCAAAACAAGGAAGCAATCAGGCAACTCACTTCCCAAAGCTGCTAATCTTGGGCTGCCGAGTTACTTCTGATCCTCCACATGCAGCTGTACCATGAACACGGACTTGTCACATTACAAGTTTAGACTTTTCTGCTGTTAAGCAAATGAACTGTTTCAGGGCTCAGTACAAGGCAGAGTGGATTATAAGAAACTGTGTAAATGCAGGGAATTCTGCTCAAAACCCCACTGCTTCTTTCAAAAGTCACACCAACATATTCAGTTCTTGTAATCAGCGCTGTGGCACTGCTTTCCTTGACTTTTTAATTTCCTCCTTTTCCACAGTGACAACTTGCTATATTCACCTAAAGCTTTTCCCAAGTAATAAAGACTACGAAGAGTTTACTGTATTTTCTGCATGAAGAAAAATCAAATACTAAACTATCCCTGGTGTGCATTAAATATAACCAATAAACAATCATTAGCTGCCATTGGACCATAAAATTTGAAGAGCCCTGAACGTATCATGTTGTTCATGGGAGCTCAGCAGTTTGTTTCACGTGGCTATACAGCTGCCTTGTCAGGGTGCAGTAACAGGATCTGTATGCACCAAAAATGCCTTTCAAGGGTGCAATATAAGTTCTGCTTAAGGGAGTTCAGCATTCATATTGCTCATGCTTTTTCCTCCAAATACTGGCACCAACACAGCAAATAAAACAAGTTTGGTGGAGCCACCCAAGACATTGTTAGAAGCTATTTTCTGAGCAACATTTACATGCACGAAATGTTGGCAGCTGGCTGATGGTCTTGGAGGCTGTACATACACAGGGCTTTCATTTTGCTTTCTGACAGCTGGATTGCTTACCATGTATATCCCTCTTTCTAGCATTCCATAAGGGAAGAGAAAGGGGAAGAAACAAGAGAGAGATTTCTGCCATGATGAATTTGATCACCAGTGGATTAATATACCTACAAGTATGCTTTCTAAAATACATTGAACCATTCCAAGCATAGCTGCTTTCCTCTGCAATTTGTTAGAGGCTTTGATACGAAGCCCAGGAAAGTATGGGAATATGGAATAGCTTCTTGTTGTCAATTCTGGATGGCCTACTTCTTGCATGGGTCCTCTCAAAGGGAGGCTGCTAAAGTCTTAATTGAGCTTTTACTGAATTTTAGACAAAAGTGATTTTCAAACATTAAGAAAAGTGCAAATGCTATTTTTTTTTTTTTTGCATTTTGCAGTATTTCCCACAGTCCTTGACATTAAATCCATTCTTGTGATGGACGGATTTGGTTAACACACAGGACAAGGCAAATGATGCAACTTTTTTAGACTGCAATTCTGGTATCTTCCTTTTTTTTTTCCCAGCAAAACTCGAGCTGTCGCCATTTAAGACTCAATAGCTGAAGACCTGGCCTGTAAGAAATGGTTACTCAGAAATTCACATGAACATTGCCAGAATTGCTTTGGCAATGTGGGGGGACCACACTCTCTGCAGTGGGCCTTCCTGCTTTTCATCTTTACTTTAGGAATTACAACCACAATAAGGTGAGATGACACATTTCTGATTTATCTGTGGGAAAGGACCAAACGTGGCTCAGCCTGCTCACATGAATAGCCCCTGCTGGGCTGAAGGGGATGACCTTTTAATGGAATCACTATGCTGCTGCTTGGTTATAAAAGCAAATTAATCTCCTAATATAAGTGGTTGAACAAAAAAAAAAAAAACACAAAAGGATCAATACCAATCCTTGGAATAACTGAATGTAAAAGAGTCTCTGTATTGGGCAGCTACTGTGAAACTCCAATATAATAGAATCATAGAATCAACCAGGTTGGAAGAGACCTCAAAGATCGAGTCCAACCCTACCGTGGTTACTAGACCATGGCACTAAGTGTCACATCCAGTCTCATCTTGAAAACCTCCAGAGATGGTGAATCCACCACCTCCCTGGGCAGCACATTCCAATGCCTGACTACTCTCTCCATATAAAAAATCTCTTCCTAATATCCAGCCTAAACTTCCCCTGGCAGAGCTTGAGTCTGTGCCCTCTTGTCCTACTGCTGGTTGCCTGCAAGAAGAATCAGTCAGGTTGGAAGGGACCACAGTGGGTCATCTCATCCAACCTCCCTGTTCAAGCAGTGTCATCCTAAAGTACACTGCACAGGATTGAGTCCAGACTGTTCTTGAATACCTCCAGTGAAGGAGAATCTACGACCTCTCTCAGCAATCTGTTCCAATGTGCAGTGACTTGCACAGTAAAGAAGTTCTCCCTCATATTCAGGTGGAACTTTATGTGCTTAAGTTTCTGCCTGCTATCTCTTGTTTTATTAGCCTGCACCACTGAGAAGAGTCTGGCTCCATCTTCTTGGCACACCCCCTTTAGATACTTATATACATTAATGAGGTCCCCTCTCAGTCATCTCATCTCAAGACTGAACAGTCTCAAGAATACTAGGACATGGGACACTTCTGAAAATCACAAGCACCAAGTGATGAGCAAAGCAAAAGAGAGGGGAACAATGGCCTGTTCCTGGCTATGTAATCTGGACCTGTGTTACAGGGGGGTTGGATTTGGAAAAGAAAATGAAATCAAGAAAACCTACACTGGGTGTCTGAGCAAATCATTCTGAGATGTATGAATGATGGCAGCAAATGCCAGGCAAAAACCAAACAACACTAACAGTTCCATAAGTCCTCCTTAAACAAATGCAGTAAATAATGGAGGGAGGCAAGTAATATATTCCAGAGGATGTTTTACAAAACCCGGCAAAACCGAGCAACTTCTTGCAATCAAATTATGTATGCCTGGCATATAGCTCACTACAAATTCTAATCAGTTCTACCCTTCTAATAACATTATACTGAAAAATACATCATCATCCATCAACCAGATGGAGCATGATAGTTATACAAAACATATTGTATGCTTTTTATTTTCCACTATGAGAATGTGATAAAATTGTGCATTTTGGAATTAAAAATTATAAATAAATATTTTAGGGTTTGCAAATCTCTGTAAATACTTATTTGCAAAATATTATATATGCATGTTTAATCATTTAAAATACTACTTTATGCTGTGGGGAGAGAGACATAATTTACTGGCACATGCACAGGACTGCTGCCTCCTCAATGCCAAGATAGTGAAGTTTTGCTGTTCACCTCCAGCAAATTTCAGCCAAACTTTCTGCCTGTACCTTCTATGCCATGGAAACATTTGGGCACCCAAGGCCTGCCGGAAAAAGGCAGGATATCCCATGGAATATGTTTATTTCTCTGTGCTTCAGAAAGGTCCATATGTTAATTTAACAGGAGTGGGAACATTTCAGCACCGCAAAGCTGCCATGGAGTTTATGGTAGCTGTGATAAGGTGCCATGTATTCCCAGACTCTACAGCCAACCTGCTGTGTGTCATTAGCTCCCACAGCCTACACTGGTACTCTGGTTGTCCCTACAGAGCATCACAAAGAACTTTTCAAAGATGAGGGCGGACGCAAATCAACTGCTCGCTCACGTCCAAAGCGATGGCCTGGGCTTGGGGATGCCCTTGTCCTTTTACTACGAGGGAAAAAGTAAGACATTTTCAGCATGCAACAGTTACAGAACACTGTAAGAGAATACAGTTTGTGCCAGCTTCAAACTAGCTGTAATACTGGGTTGTCTGGATAGGCAGACAAAAATGTTGAGAGAAGTCAAAAGGATCACTCTGGTGCTCCAAAGCCTGTGATGGTAATGCTGCAGAAGTCACAGGGTGAACAGCATGGAAAGTTGCCACTAAACACAAGACTGCAAACTAGACCAGCGAGGACACAGCTCCAGCAAAGGCAGATATGTGGAAACTCATGGCCCTTTGGCTGTAACATGATTGTCCCATGTAGGCTACTGTGAAGGCTCAATTTTCCATTAGACAGTGTTGCATGATAGTCTAAATTGTGCTTTGATACCAGCTTCATCAGTGCTGAAAACACTTAAGAATATTCATAATGATAAATGATATAGCTGTTCCAATTTGCAAAGAGCCTAATGCATTCCACAGTCATCATCTATTTTGCCTGCAGGCTCTGTTAATTTGATAGAATACTTAAAAAAAAAGAGGAAGAAAACAGTGCTTCTTCACCCACATAAGAAATATGCTACGGTTAGAGAAGGATGACCTTGCTGATATAATACCAAACTGAGACTTAGGACAGTCACCTCTCCTGATGTTATGCAATGATGTGATAAAATTTTCCTCAACTGACTTCCCTAGAAAATACCTTTGCAAATCATTTCATAGTGGGGAATTTGTTCCATGTCATCATATACTCACATCATGGACTGCTTTGGAGGCACAGAGATAAGGCAAGGCATGCCTCATGGCTGAGCTCTGCCTGCAAAAGCCTTCTGGGCTCCTCATGTTCCTTTATTGTCCCCATTTCCATCTCAACTGACCAGGTTTAAGCAATACCAAGTTCACTCACACTTTGTCTGTGCCATAGCTCCGGTAGTCCACTGCTGCTGATACGGCCACAATCAGTGCAGGCATGCCGTAGCCAACCAAATAGAAGTACTTCCTCCGGGAGTGTTCACTCTCAAAAACCTCCACCAGCATGATGTAGAGCTGCACCCCCTCCAGGAACATCCAGGTGAAAGCTGCCAGGAAGAAGAAGTGCAGGAGGGCAGCAAAGATGGCACAGGCAATCTGTGTGCGGATTGAAAAGAGCAAGGGAAGATGTTTGTACCACACTGAAGCAACTCAAGAGTCAGAAGTACTCTTACTGGAAGGTTTAATAAAAATGAGGTAGTTCTTATCTTTCCTCTCCAAAGGAAGAACATTTTTTCACTTGGAAAATGCGTGTGAACTATTTTAAAATAGACACATCTTTGCGTATATGAATTATATTTAAAGATACAAAGGTACATATACACACAATCTAGCAAATAAACATATAAAGATGTACGTCATATAAGTGAATATAGTACACAGCATATAGTATAATTTACAACCTGCTTATTGACCATGCACACACATTATTTACAAGCAACACACATAGAGCCTCTGAAATCACAGCAGCCATCAACATGTGTCTCACAGTTAACCAGGGGACCAGCCCTGTGAGGCTTCATGCATGGAATTAAGACAGTGCTGGAATGTATCTCACTGCATGGTCAAACATCCCACATGCACTGAGACAAGCACCTGTAACAGAAGCAGAGTGCTTTGCCTCTTACCGGCTGGTCAGTCCGGTTGATGCCAATGAGGAAGAGCAGTTCTGCCACGAAGAGGCTGATGCATAAGTTCTTGTGAATTGTGTTGCGGTCACTCTGCAGTCCACGGAAGAAGCAGAAGGTGAAGATGCAGATCAGGAGGCAGACCAGTGAGAGCAGGATACCAACCCATGTGATGAAGTCCAGGAGCAGGTCGTGGACTGCATCACTGTGCTGAAGATAAAACCAAAAAACCTCATCAGTTGCATGATGCATAACTTCTAATTCATCCCAGACACAGAGTGAGGTTGTCTGAGACCATTCCTCAAATACTTCTATCTACTCACCAAGCTGTGACACAAGAGACCAGTATCAAAAAGATTAAATGGACCTAAACTTGAATCCTGCAGCAAGAAAGTTGCCACCTGAAACACAGACTTCAAAGCATCTTGCAAGCTGCAAGTGTCCTGAACAGATTCAGACCCCCAAACACCCTAGACACAACAATGGTGTTGTTGAAAACATATGTCATAGCTACTCTGACATGCAGCTCCATCTTTTTCAAACATGGCAAAGGAGCATCTGGACACACAGTATAAAGAACCATTGAACACAGTGAAGCGAGTGTAAAAAGGTGTTTCATGTTAACAGCATTGTGTCCAACAACCTCAAGTCCATTACAATCATTTACCAATAGTGAAAAGAGATTCTCTTTAAATGTTCACAGAGATGTATGAGCTCAGAGGCTTTGGACAGAAAGCCATAGGGGAAGGAGAAAAGAAGTTTGTTTTTCAAAGCCTGGAGTTATATTTTAAAACTCCTGGCAAGTCAGATTGGTCTCTAGAATGTTACAGAGAAAAAAAGACCTTTTAACACTTACGTGCTTTTAAACTCTAACAGAACAGTGACTTCAAGATAGACTGGAAAGTGTGTGATTCTCTGTGATGAACTTGTAACATGTTTTTACTCCAAAGCCATGCAATCAAGGCCATTGCAATGGCAACATCAGGGAACAAAGTTTTGTCAGGAGAGCATAGGCATGCCTTGTTCTGCTGATAAAACAGTGCTGTACTGCTCCTGCTCTCACACTGTGTGTCCCAAACAGAATGAGGGGAGGGATGGGACTCTCCTGGTGAGAGTATCCCACATCCTTAATCCTCATTCAGACCGTGAAACTCGGCTGTAACTCCCCAAGTTCTCACCAGATGTGGTGAAATTACTTAGTAAAATGTAAATACATGGTGAGTCACAAGATGGCTGCTCAGGGGCTAAGTGGTTAGAGTCAATGAGCTGGCAAAAAGACTGGCTGGAAATCTCTGGGGGCTCTTCAGAAAGATCAGAGTGGCTTGAAACCCAGCTTTGTGGTCCACCAGGCTGCATTTTAAATGGCAATCATATTCCCGACCACTTGTGGTATTTCGATGACTCAGGCATTATGTAGGCTGGCAAATACAATAGTGTCACACTTCAAACAGCCGGGGCAAACTGGAAACATTTTTCTCTCCATGGGATAAAAGCTTATGACAGATGGAAGGAAAAGGTGATTAATTTATCCATTTTCTTTGCTTGCTAGCCAATGATAAAGCCACATCAAACGTCAGGTCTTTCCCAATACACACTCTGCAATGTCAGCACCCCCGAGAAATAGCTCAAACCTTTCAGCTCTTTGGCTTTATCAGCATGAGTGACAGGTATCAAATGAGAATGAAAGATGGGGAGCAACCCTCTGCTCCATCTCTTCCATGTTGGAAGTTTTCTCTCCAGGGAGACTTAGAGGTGGAGAGATGGAGGGTTCCTTTACCAAAGCTTTGCTCTTGCAGCTCTTCATGAGCATTTCCAGTATCTAAGGAACTAGAGGTCGTAAGTCCAACAGGGAGATAAGAAATCATTGTGTGCTTTCTGTAGATCATGATATTCCAGCTAGCTCATCCCGCAGCGCCCAGAAAACTGACAAGATGAAGGTCATAATTTTCCTGGCAGCTGTGCATTGCTTTATCTCAGTGTCATTCCAGTTCATTTATCCCTCTTAACTCTGCTAAAAAATGTTAATGCAAACCTTGCACCTTAAAAATCATTCTTTCTCCTGAGGATGCTGGGAAATGGCAGGAGAAATCTCCCTGCACAAGCCCTCATCTGATTAGATTGCCCAGCCAGGCTGAATTGGCCAAGAACTCTTGGGCTGGGTGAACAGGACAAGGCAGCTAATGCAGGTGGATCCAAGGAGAAAGAAACCAGACTTTTGCCAGATGCATACACCCCACCTAGATGCAGCCAACAGCACAGATTCATCTATCCCAAGACAAATTTAGCTTGGCACAGGGAAAATTCTCTGAGGGCTTCTTCCCCTGGGTGAGATGAATCCCACAGGTCTCAGCTCCTGTACCTCTTGCCACAAAACCACAACTCTGCTGACTTTAAGATATGATGCAGGAATTACAGGTGGTTTTGCTCCTGGAGAGGGATCCTAGTATCTAGGTTCATGGTCTGCTGCTTGCCCACAAAGCTCTCCAAGCTTAGCAATAAACATGCATCATTGTTGTATTGTTATTATCACTCATAATACTGTTCTTAAAAATATTAATTGTAAAGATAATACTAATTTTATGTACACACCATTCACCCCTGGAGTGCTGGGAAATAACCACAAAACCAACTTCTCCATAATTATGAATTCTCTCTCCCCAAACAACAAATTCACAAAAGAACAAACTAAACGGAATAATAAAAATAAACTGGGAGCAAGAGCAATTTAAAAACACCTCAGGGGAAAAAAATATGAATTTGTAGCTTTTCTGGTAAAGTCCACGAGAAGAAGTGAGCTGAATTTCAACGGCTGGGTGTACTTGATCCGTTTGGGATGCCCAGCTTAAGATGAAGAGCTGATGGGTCAGGGAAGAGTTGCTGAGCACTGGCATCCTTCCAAGGGCAGTGCCAAATACCCTTAGGGCAGGCATATCCAGAGCTTTTACACCTGCAAGTACAACAAAAGGGAACTTGCCTTTTCCTGGTGGCTGAAACTTGTAAATAACTGCACTTTCAAGAGCCACAAAGCAGAATAATAATGGGAAAAGGAGGAACAGTGATTATCACTCCCAGTGATATGAGCTTATCCTTGCCATCACCCAAGCACAATGTGGCAAATAAGGGAGCAACATACCTGGTTTACACCGTTGGTATATGGAGTTCCAGGGTTAAGTACAATACATAGCGCACCAAATTTTTGTCTCTGGGTCTTAGTCTCCAAGCCTAGCCCCCTAATCACAGAACAAAATGCAAGAGGAGCAAATCCTCTCTTTATTTACCGTGTCCAGCACTGTTCAAAGACTCCTTGACTAAGGATAAAATAGTTTTGATGTACATGCTGATCACTAAATCACAGAATGGTTAAGGTTGGAAGGGCCCACCAGTGGTGTGTCATGTGGTCCAGCCTTCTCCGCTCGAGTCCAGCTAGACTCTGTGCCACTCATCATGACCCTCTGGAATCTGCCATTCCCAGAAGATCCCTAATGATATCCTTCCAACACAATGCAAGTCCTAGGGTCTTTAAAGCATGAAAAATACATCTGAAACCACCACTGTATTGTTAACAGTCAACTCCTGCTTCTCAATGATCTTCCAAATCAGGCAACCAGAAGAGCCCAAGAGAGATATCAGTTCAAAAGACAATTTCCTGATAGCATCAATCCTTGTCCAAATGCACCATGGCTGTGGACTGGTGTGACATGACCTAGCATGCAAGACACTGAGTTTTGTTACCACTTAACTACACTAGCTTTACAGGTAAACTGATACAGATTATTTTCAGCACAGGAACAATTTAGTGAGTAATAGAAAGAAATAAAATAATCCACTTCAGTGAAACAGTTTCTATTTTAAGTATGTTTTGCATGTATGATTTAGGTGTGAGCCTGACCCAAAGCCCAGTGAAAGGAGATGTCTCTGGCCTTGGAATAAAGCCCTGGTTTTGCTTTGGTGGGGCCAAGAGCAGTAGGAGGGCACTGATTGAGACTTGTGCAGAGGGAGCTTAAGGAGCACTGGTAGCAACCACAGCAGGGTAAGCAGACAGCCTAGACATTATCCAGGCTGGGAAAATCGATGAGCATCTCTGGCCTGTATGCCAGAGCTAAGCTAATAAAAACAAATCCCAGGGAATGCCAGCTTATGACAGAATGGCTCTCCCTGAGATGAACAGCCACTTCCTTCCCTATTAAAAACACCAGTAGAAAAAAAAACCCAGCCAAACTGAGCTGCCAGCAGCAAAGGACACATTCCTTTGCCTAATCTGTCCCTCCAGGAATGGAAGGAGTAATATCTTTGGGGGTGGAGGAACAAGCAAGCAGTAAATAAAAACACAGTGTCATCATCTAGCTTGGTGCCTGGTGGGAGCTGGCAGTGTGCTGGACTGTACAGAGACCCAAGTGGGACAGGTTTGAACTTCTGTGCATTGCTGAAGCTTCTCCTTGGATTTGTAGCCATTTGGGCCCATGCTGGGTCCCTCTGCCATTTCCCCCCATTGCTGGTGTTGAGAGAAGATTACTGCTATGACCTGATTGTAAGGCTCAGTGGCTAAGTGCAAATGGCTACTCAAGAAGCAAACAGTTTTGTAGATGTGTCAAAAGCATCAGCTGGGGTACATGGACTGGGAGAAAACCCCAAGGACTCCTACAGCACATATGGGCTGGTTAAGGGCATGACCTACCATGGCTATGCAGGCATGAAAGGTTTTGAGGGAGCTTTTTCCCCTCTGCGGCCAAGAGCAATATGTGCTGGGGGAGATCCCTTTGTTTTAGCACCCATCTTCTTCATCTTCCCCAAGGCTGCACTGAGGGAGGGAGGCAGTTCTGCTCCACAGTGAACAGAGCACACATGGACCTGGTATGGATCCTCTCCGTGCTCTGCAAAGGCAGCACCGTCAGGTTGTAAACCAGGAATAAAGAGCCTAATTCCCTCCTGAAGCCACTGTGCAACATCACTGTCTTCTGACTATGGACACTCACAATAAGGGTCAGATCCCCCAGCACTCCTGCAAGGTGGTTTAGTCCCCTTTCCTACCCTTGCCTTAGACCACAAAGCTGCCTTCATATTCTGCACAGGCAACACAGACCATCTTCCTCCTCTTCTGCCTTCCTCAGCAAGAGGAATTCCCACAAACTTCACCCCAAAATGCAACAGCCTTCCAGTGACTGCCAGAAGCAGCAGCCAGCACAAATCACAGAAATCTCCCTGGCCAGAAT